AAAGCCAGCCGAGCAGCAGCTTTCCTTCTCAGCTCTCAGCAATTGTTTGTCACTCATCATTGTCTTTTGCACACTGTCAAACTTTACATCCTCCCACTCCACTGATTTAAAACCTCCTGACTCATGACCAGTAAGCATAGTTGTACAAATATCTCCAAAATGTTCTTTGGATATTTTCCTCAAGAATAGTGTAGCCAAATCATAAACAGTTCTACTTTCAGTTTTTTGTTTTGTTTTGTTTTGTTTTTTGAGAAGCCTCCACACTGATTTTTATAGTGATGACACTAGTTTAGACCCATCAACAGTGAATAAGGATTTCTTTCCCCACATACACACTAGTCTTTGTTGTGTTCAGTTTCTCAAAAGCAGCCATTTTGCCTAAAATGAGATAGAATCTCAAGGTAATTTTAATTTGCATTCCTGTGATGGCTAAGAATATGGAAAAATACTAAAAGTATGTGATGGTCATTCATATTTCTTCTTTTAAAAAACTGTTTAGTTCATTAGCCCATTTTACAGATTAAAAGTTCTGGATTTGGTGCCAAAACTCCAGTAGCATTCTTCATAGAACAGCAACAGAAACCCCAAACCCATTAAATTCTGTATGAGAACACAGAAAGCCAAGAAATCCTAAGGAAAAAGAACATGGCCAGAGGTAACACAATATCTGACCTCAAACTATAAGCAGGGCCATAGTGACAGACAGCATGATATTGTCACAGAAAGAAGTAAACCATTGGGATACAATGGAAGACCCTGAAATAAACCCACACAACATACAAACCTAATTTGTAACAAACGTGTCAAAGACTCTAGAAAAAGAGACACACTATTCAGTAGATGATGACAGCAAAACTAAGATTCCCACTGTAGAAGAACAAAATCAAGTTCGTGCCTCAGTTCCTGTACAGAAATCAATGCTAAATGGACCAAAGAGCTCACTTTAAAACCTGAAAGTGCTGGAGGAAGAAACTGTGTAAACACTTCAGGATAAGCACTTAAGCAAGAGCATTCTGAATAGAACCTCAATACCACAACGAGAAGCCCCCAAAACTTGACAAATGGGATTGTATAAAGTTGGAAGGCTTCCAAGCATGAAGGATTAACAGAGAGCCTATAAAGCAGGAGGAAATCTTCCCCAGCTGTACTTCAGACGAGAGGTCAATATCCTAGAATACATACATATATACATACAAAAACAGCAAAATTTAATCCCCGAAAACAGGGTGTTCTTGGAACAAGTGAGTTTGCCCCACATCACTGTCTTTGTCATGTGTGATGTAAATAAAGCATGTTCATAGCCATTTGCTATTTGAACTCACTGAGAAGCTGGCCCAGAGTGAGGCATTGCTCTCCCATCTCATTTCAAACCCAAGCATATTTGCCCAAGGTTCCTTGCCTACAGATGGACTGTCCTCCAGCTCTATGACAAAACTCATGACAGCAGGGGTGGCCTACTCCAATCTGCCAACCAGGAAGCATAGGGGGACTTCGCTGTTCAGCAGGCTTCCCCTTCTTACTCAGTCAGGGAGTCGAGTCACTAGGGGGCTGCTGCTCACATTGAGGGTTTGCACTCCACGTTTCTAAATCCAATCAAGCTGGCAATTGAAATTACCCACCATAGGAAGTTAGGGAATTGTCTCAGAATAGACAACAGTTGAGTTTGGTCATGAATCAGTAGGAAGGTTAGAGTCAGTCAAGCAGGAGGACATTAGAGGTGGAAATAGCATGCCTTCTCTTTATGGTTCAGAGAATAATCTATGATAGTCATATCTTCAGGTTTGAATGAATGAGTTTATTAGGCATATAGCAATCCAAACTAAAAGAACAAATAGCTAATAGTGTAGAGATAACGAAACACATCAGACCAGATGCTCAAAATTTTCAGCAGAAATTGACCATGGGAACTCCAAAAAGGCAGTCACCTGGAGTTCCAGACAGAGACAGTCCTGGGTGGAGCAGAGTGTCGCCTCTTGTGAGGCTTCCAAGTAAGACAACAAAAGGTAACATCATCAAACTGGGCGCTCACAACCCTCAGCAGAGACTGGAAGAGGGCAAAAGAATCTAAGAGTAAAAGTATCATGTCATTGAAAACAGCTGACATCCTTTCCAACAGAGGTTATTATTGCTCATCTTGTAATATACAATGCCTGCTGTGGGAAAAAGCGAGTGGGGTGCAGCCATGAGATGCTGAGCCATAGAAAGATTAGTTGGAAACTCTAACTGCCTCACCTTCCCCAGTCTCTGCCGGAGACTGTGAGTGCCCAACTTGATGATGTTACCTTTTGTTGTCTCTGAACCATAAAAATAAGGCATGCTATTTCCACCTCTAATGTCCTCCTGCTTGACTGACTCTAACCCTCCTACTGATTCATGACCAAACTCAACTGTTGTCTCCTCTGAGACAATTCCCTAGCTTCAATTGCCAGCTTGATTGGATTTAGAAACATGGAGTACAAACCGTCATTGTGAGCAGCAGCCCCCCAGTGGCTGGACTCCCAGACTGAGTAAGAAGGGGAAGCCAGCTGACCACTGACGTCCCCTTCTCTGCTTCCTGGTTGGCATCATAGAATAGGCCACCCCTGCTATCATGCCTTCCACACCATAACAGGATGCATTTCTCTAAACTGTGAACCAAAATAAACCTTAAATTATTGTTAAGTATGGATCTCAGCAAAATTAATTAGTTAATTAATACCTTCAATTATACCTTAATAAATACCTTCAACTTGCTTTGCTCCAGTAGCCCTTGGTACAACATGATACACAGATCACCATATGAGGTTGTATCATAGAATAAAAACATGTGTGATGCATAGAATTTTATGCTTCCTGATAGACTCATTTAAAAAGTAAAAAAGAATATGATGAATTTGAATAATATATTTCATTTAGCCAAGCGATCCAAGTCACTCACATAATGTAAAAATGATGTAATATTTAGCCAATAACTCATCAAACTCCAATGTGTATCTTCCATGCAGAGCATATTTTAAATTAAGATACTATATTGTCATCAAAAATAATTACTAGTACATACATGCAGCTACATAATCATTGGTCCAACATTTCAATTTACAAAATGTACAGTTGGAAAAGTAGATTCATGTTCCAAAGCTGTTCTAAATTTACTTGAAAGCTTTCTGATAAGTGACTTAAATATGTTCTTGGTTTTATACCAAAATAAAAATCAAGTGATAAAAGTCGACTCCTTGGTCACAGCAGCTGCATCTCTTTTCCACACACTAGGATGCAGCTAGTGACTGTTACACTGCGCACTGCAGCTCTGCCAAACTTATCTGTGCATTTATCTCTCTTCCTCACTAAAAGGGCTCTGTCTAAGTTGCTTAGATCTTTCTCACTGCCTCGTGTAAATAAGGCTTGAGTCATAAATGGTGAAAGTTTGTTGAGTCAATAAAAATAAATATGCAAATCATTTGAATCTTCTGCAAGATGAAATTGAGAGAAATCTTTTGTACAGACTATAAACGGAATTTTTATGAATATATACATACACAACTCCTCATACATATACAAGCACAACTGCAGCATGACTCCCAAGAACCAAGTATAGTAACAACCTAAATGTTCAGACTGACTAGTAGAGTGGTATATGTACATAATGTGATAGTATTCAGCCTTTAAAAAGAACAAATCCTGCCATATATGACCATGTGAATGAACCTGGAGAATATTATAATTAACGTTACATAAGTGAGTCACTAAAGGGAAGACTTGCATCTCCACTTCCACAGGGTGTTTCTAATAGTCAAATTCAGAAGCAGAAACTGGCCAATTTCAGACGCCATGGAGAGAAGTGAGTGTGGTTTTAGTAGCATGTGGGTAAGTCCTAGAGCTGTGCCACAAACCATATTGTGTATGGTCTGTAACACTGAACTGTGTGGCCAAGCATTTAAGATGCTGGCTTTCATGTGAAGTATTCTTACCACAGGAGAAGAAAAAGCACAACAGCAAAGAACCAAATGAAGCAGCAACAAACGTACTCCCTACTCCATGCTGTGTGGTGTTAACCATGGGGAGCAGAGAAAGGGAATGTATGGCAACTCTATACTTCCTAAGACTATGCTAAAATGTAAAGTCTACTTAAAAGAGAAAAGAATGCCAAGTCCATTTGTTACTGATTTCTGCCATAAACAACAATATTCCATACATATTACCCACCTCATTCCCTCTTCTTCATCCCTCTCTACTCATTGCCCTTGGGATCTTATGAGTAGTCTGCATAACTACTACTCCATAATACCTTTTTAAATTTCAATTTCTCATTAGTGGGGGAAGGGTATGTATGGGTGTGCATTCCCTGACACCCATGTGGAAGTCAGGGGACAGCTTTATGGGGTAATTCCTCTCCTTCCACCTTCCCATGGTTCCAGGGACTGAACTAAGGTCATCAAGCTTGCCCAGCAAGTACCTTTATAGAGCCCTTTCACCAGCCCCCATGACATCATTTCCCACTCTAGTTATTCTACTTTTCCTAAACTTCTGAAGACAGAGATCGCTCACTGCACTTCGTGGCCATCATACTTGGATTAGTGGTACAATTTTTAATCCTAGAATTTCATGAATGGCAATTAAAATCAGTTCTTCAGTGCCTTCCTTTTTGGTGAGGCTCTATCTCTCAACAACCACACAGACAGATATCACCATCTCTGGAAACATGGGACCAAAGATCTGCATATATAAGTGATTTTATTAATTATACTACATTTGGAACATGTGATTGCCCTTCACCTCTAAGATGGGCTCATATTCCCAGTCTTCAGTAAAACACACACATGCCCTTGTACATGCCCTCATCAAATGCAGATTCAGCAGCCCTTATTTCCTGCCCCCATTTTCCTCTCTCCTCTTCCCCCAGCCACAGGACACAGCAATGGGACAGAAGAGAATTCTGATATCTTCAGTCTTAGACACTCTGTGTCCTGGTAATAAACAACAGTGACAAATGAATGTAGATGTATAAATTTCCACAGAGGGAATCAGCTGGTGTATGCTTTATTCTAATGTCGGTTGAGTATGGAAAAAATAAAACTAAACACAAAGACATCTATAACTCAATCATGAGCTTCACAAAAGTCTCTATTGGTATCCATTCTCTTTTGCTTGGCCAGCTCTCGGATGGTCGCTATCTCTACAGCAGTGAACTTGGGAGTGAGAGTCACATTGTCATAATCAAATTCTTCGTCGAGAAAGAAGGGTTGCACTTCATCTCCAAATATCTATAAAAGGTACCAAAGGAAGAAAGAAACACAGTCACTGAAGTGAAGATGAAGTTGAAAACATAAGCAGCCTATTAATATTTAATGAAACTTTTTTTAGACTTTTGGCACTCTTGGCTGATTAAGCTGTTTTTAAGTAATGAAATAAATTCAATTATTCAATTTGACCTAATTTAAGCCTCTTAATATGCCCTATTTGTATCATGCTGTATCTGAATAAGTATCATTAACTAATTCTGCCCCCGAGGAAAGAACCAGGTCTGCTTTGCACACATTCATTCTTTTCCACTCTGCTATGTCAGAGATGGAGGCATATGGAAAAGCCAGAAGCTCCATTAAACAACAGGAAATACACCCAAGGCCTTGACAAACCCTTTCATCATTTGCTAAAAAGTATCTGTTAATGGAGTGATATATAAAAATGAAATTTGAAACGCCCTATCCAAAATCACATATGATCAGATTTAAAAGTCCAGCATCCCCTTTCTCCCTTTTTACATATTGCAGACTATCTGCAAAGAAAGGTAATGGTTTTGTACATGTTAATACAAATGTGTGAGTTTTAAAGCCTTTCTAAAGGACGCACCATTCAAAGCACATTTCCCCCGGGGCTGAGTGCTTGCCTGGCAGGCAGGAGGGCCTAGGCTTGGTCCCCATGCTGGGAAAAGAGTTTGTTTGTTTGTTTGTTTTTTAAAAGAGTACATGTTCCAGTAAACAGAAAAGAATGCCTTAAATCTTATTAATTCACCCCCTGAAAAATGCCACCCTAAGCCAATGGTATGAGATACAATGAACTCACGCAGCACCTCATAGATCCTGTATGTATAGTGGTGCAGAAATAATTGAAAACTATGGCTTATGCAAAAATGAAGAAATGCCCTGAAGCTAGCTAATGTCAACTTTAAATGTTCTTGCATGGAAGATGATCTCCCCCAGTAACTTCTGCAGAGTGTGAGAAAATGGAACACACTGCTTGGAGGCTCTGCACTGCTACCACGGAGACAAAGACTATCCAGAAATGCCTATCTGTTCAGAGAGTCCTATTAGGGAGTCAGGTGTGCAGTGCTAATAGCAGACTCCCAGCCACTCATTGCCCTGTGGTAATAAAATCAGCTGCTGCAATTTCCAGAGGCCTGGTCCTCTCCTATGTGTTTTCCTGGGGAGAAAAGTCAAGAGCTGCCACTGAACAATCTCCCATCATGGGCCTGCCCTAGTATTAGGAGTCACATGGGTATCATCAGCCCTGCCAGTGCCCACTGAAAGAGATCAGTATCAGCTCAGGATACCCCAGGACCAAGTTCTCAACATAAAGGAGATTTATCTGCCCCAGAGGGACAAAGTGCAGGAAATAAGAGACAAAGAGGGGAAGCAGAGGATGAGGAAGAAGGGGAAGAGAACAAGGAAGAGGGGGGAAGGGGTATTTGTCCTGAAGGAGGACAGGGACTACCTCTGAATAGAGAGGAGACAGACATGGCACAGTTAATGGTGGTTTAAAGGGGTAAAGGGGGAAACCCCACATTAGGATAAGGTGCTTAATTTTAATTGGGCATGTTAATTAGGTGAGCTAAGTGAAGAGGCCTTTTGATTGCTGCACTTGAATACTTTGACAGCTAGACCTTGGTTGTCAGCCTCAGGAAGAGGAAGTAGCCAAAAACAAGAACAGACCTTGGTGGCTAGCTTTAGGAATACAATCTAATGGTTTTTAGCAAGGCAAGGGGGATGGGGGAGAAGGGGAAAGCATGTTAGAGCCATACTCACCAAGCATGGGCTGGCTATAAGTCCCTTCCTATTGCCTCCCAGTCATAAAGCTTTGAAAGGCTTCATAACTTGCCCAATGCTAGTAAAGAAGAGAAGCCACATTTGAACCCAGGACAATATGCTTCAAATAAAGCCGCATTTGTTCAAAAACACTGGTTCTTTGGGAGACACGCCCAAAGAGTCCTTTTCTGAATAATCTGCTCAGTTCCCAGGACCACCATTGAAAATGACTCAAGGCCATGTTCAAGGTCATGACTGTTTTCCAAAGAGCAGCTGCATACACAGAGCAAATTAACCTGCAGAAGAAAGTGACTGATGTGCCATGATCACTTTCTCAATTAAATTTATCTTCGCCACAAAGTAACAGAAGAGCACTCATTGGTAAGACTAGCTCCAATGAAAAAGAAAAACACTCACTCAATGACACTTGATGGTCATGTCCAGAATCCAAATATCCAAGCTACCTCCAACTCTGTGTACAAGTACTGAAACCTGCAGACCAGGCCAAGTCCATCCTGCCTAACTATGTAGACAGCTGTTTTCTTACTGAACCTGGCCAAGATGTGGAGGAAACGTTGTCTCTATGAATGTTTTAGGTCTGGGAGGATTTCTGAAGCTCTTTATGCCCTCATCTAAAAACAAGAGAGCACATGTCTTTTGAGCTGCAGGTATCTCATGTCCCACACTAGGATTCAGAATCCCACTCAGATCTTCTGACCCCACCCATTCTCGCCACATGCAAACACTTGGACTTCATCCACCTCCCAGGGAGGCTGGGCTATTTATTGCCTTAAATTAAACAAGTCTCTCAGCTATGAAAATCCCTTTGATACATACCAGGCCCTTCCTACTTCCTGGTACATGTCTTTCCATCTCCCCCACCCTTTACTTATTTACTCATTAAACATTTATCAAGCATTAGGTGCAGAACACAAGTACAGCAAAACCTCGGTCCACAGGATTTCCTGACCCAGAAGACAGTAAACAAGTGATATCACTGACATGTGGCATGATCTTCACTAGGGTAACTGCAGAAGGCAGAGTGTGATGCTCACAAATTTCACTGTCCCCAGTCAAGGATTGTCACCCCAAGGAACATATCCCCAGCTCCATGTCACCTCTCCTCATTATCCACCATCTTGTCTTAGTGGCTCACAGTATGGATATCTCGGGGCATCTGCTCTAACTCCTATGGCCAAGTTTGTTCTTTAGAGACAGCCCCATCCAATACCTCCTTTCATCCCCATTTCCCTGGGATTCCAATCCATGTTGTGGCTGGAACATGTAATATTATGGTACTACAGATGAAGAAATTCTCTCTTAAATGGAAAAAAAGGTGTTTTTCCTTTTTTTTAATTTATTTTTTATTTTACATGTCGATCCCAGTTCCTTCTCCCTCCCTGCCTCCCTCTTACCTTCTCTCCCCCCTCACATGCACCCTGACCACCCTCCCCTCCCATCCCCCACCCCAATTCCACATGTAGGGCAATGCCATCCAGGTGGGGTCATGTAAATATGTCAAGTCATTTGAAGTAGGGACTAGGACTTCTCTCCTGTCTCTAGGTTAAGGCAGTATCCCTCCATGGGGGATCCTGGTTCAACTGTCTGAGGACCCTTAGACTGCTCAGGCCTTCTAGCTGAGACCCATATTCAGGGGGGTCTGAGTCAGTCCCATGCTGGATTCCCAGCTATCAGTCTGGGGGCCGTTAGCTCCTCCTTGTTCAGGTCAGCTGTCTCTATGTGTTTCTGCAACCTGATCTTGTCCTCTCCCTCTGCATCTGGATCCTAGTTCGACTCAGTGTTTAGTTATGGGTATTTGCTTCTGTTTCCAACAGGTACTAGATGAGGGCTCCATGTTGGTGGATAAGTTAATTGTTGATCTCATTATCTGAGAAGGGCATTTATGGTAGCCAAAAAAATTAAAAAAAGGAAAAAAAAGGTATTTTTCCTTAAGGTATTTTCCCCCATATAGTTGAATTTTCATTGTGCTGCATAATTTTCTAGAGATATTTTGAATTAACAAAAACAACAGCAAAGAATAGTTTTCTGAAAGCTAATAAACTTGCTAATACAAGAACTAATCACTTATAATGAACTCTTAAAAATAAATATATACTAAAAGATATAACATTGTCCTTTAGAAACTAAGAGTTACTAATAGCAGCTATTGGCATATAATTTTCTTAAAACAGGACTTAAATACTGAAACTGAATAACAAAGGAAACTAAGGATAGTGATAATTTCATATTTACATTTCAGGTCATTGTGAGGGAATACCTCACCAAAACAAAACAAACAAACAACAACAACAACAACAAAAGGGGGGAGAATTTTATTTGACTCAAACTTTGGTGTGTACAGCCTTTCATGGTAGAGAAGGCATTGGCAGCAGGTAGTTCCAGAGTGGTAGGTGACTGTGACAGCTGATTCTTCACATCTATGTGGACCAGGATGCATAGAAAGACCAGGATACAGGCCAGGCTAAAAAACCTTGAGGCCCATCTCCAGTGACCACATCCTCTCACCTTCTAAAGGCTCCACAACCTCCCAAAACAGTGTCACTAGCTGGAGAGTAAATGTTCAGACATTAATCCACATAGTGCATTTCACATTCACACCAGGACATTTCCTTCCTGGCCCCATAGGCTCATGATTGTTTCATAATTCCCCCAAAATAGCAGCTGGGGACAATGTAGACAAAGGCATGAATGAGCCTGTAGGGGACAGATCATATCCGGACCATGACAGACCTCAACCATGTCACTCCCAGTTAGTGGGAAGAATGTGTTTATTTGCTTACTAAGTAAATATCTGTTGCACAGTTATGTTTGGTTCTGAGCTCAATCTGATATTTTATGTTGCAATAACATAAGCTCATAGAGACATCAGAGGTGACAAGACACAGATATGCAATTCCTTGTGAAATGGGATGTGCCACACCATTCAGAAAGCATCACCATGCCCCTTCAAACACAGTGAGACTGCATGTCTGCTCCACGACCCGGCTGTTGACTGCTATAGAAGCCTGGAAGCTCTCTTCTTTCAAGGTAGGTTTATTTCAGCATCTTAAGCTCTACAGCTCCAAGATTTCATGTACAAATTGAAATTCTGGTTTATTTTAGAGAAGAATCGTTGCTATACAGCACCAAATCCCCTGCTGCTAAATAAAAAACAAGTGTGAATTAAGTTATTAACTTGATATTTTTGCCTAAGGAGCTGAGAGAAATGTATGGATTTCAGGTATCTAATTTCAGTCTAATTGAAAAAATTTTGTGACCAACATGGGAGTAGAATTTGTGTACTATTAGAAACTTTGAGTTCCTTAAAATTGCTCATGTGACTGATTCTTACAGAGACACTGCTAAAGGAGAAGGCATTTTCATTCATAATACCACACGGGCAAATTAAGGAACACAAAACTAATGCTCAAATCAATGATGGTAGCATTTAGCTACAGGCTAGAACACAGAGTGATGTGGTAAATAAACTAGCTTGGTAGGGAAATGTTTGGAGGAAGACGGGACCTCAGGTTTCTCTACTGATCTCTTCCATGGTTGTCTCTTCAGGCAACCACAATTTCCCTCTCACTATTATGAACTCATCTTGCTCTAAGAAGCAGTTCAAAACCTCCAAAACTCATGAAAATACAGGCATCGAGGCAAGAATTTATTGGCAAATAACAAGCTGGAGGTGTCAAAACAATGTCTCTCACTCTAAAGGGAAAGTGCACATATATAAGCTAGTAATAAAATGAGAAGTAAAAAATCAAACAGGCCCGATCCACATCAGAGAGGTTGTAGGTTCTGAAAGGGCAATTATGAGGGAGCAGGACTCACAGAACACATTTCCACCTTCAGACTGGAGTCACTGAAAGCAGCCACTGCTCTAGCCCCAAAGGTTCCTGGGTGGCCTCTCGCAGGACACTTGTGGGAAACGGATAAGTACATACTTCTAATGATTTAGGTGGTACAAAATAAGATTTGAGCTATTAAAATAAGGCAGAATTTGTTCAGTATTGTGATTTCAGACATTTCTAAAATGATTCTCCAACAAACACTGATTGCACCTAAAACTCCCAACTGGGTGTGGTGGCCCACACCTGTAATATTCACTCTTACTAGCAGGAAAGTAAACAACGAGGCTGACCTGTGCTGCCTAGTGAGACTTGATTACAAACAAAGCAAAAAAAGTAACGAAGTTTACACACAAAACATCAGCCTGGGGAGCCCAAAGGCAGCAAAAATTAGTCACAGATAGCTCTTGGGTTTGACAACATAAAAGTAATCTGATGCCAACATTTTCAAACGATCACATTTTCTATTAGGACATTTACATAGAAAAAAAATCAGCCATCAATTGGCCTTGGTGGTACTCGCCTATTATCCTGGTATTCAGGAGGTTGAGGCAAGAAAACTACCAGCCTGGGTGACATAACAAGTTCAAGCGCAGCACAAGTTACATAGTAGAGATACTGTTCAATAAAAGAATGTATGTGACACTGGGAGGGGGGGCAGTTAGGGAGGTAAGGGCGTATCTAGGAGAAGAAGGAATTGGGGGTGAATATAATGAAAATACATTTCCTGAGAGTTTCAAAATTAATTTTTTAAATGTGGGAAATTAATTCTTGTCTATTATGTGCAAGGCCCTAGGTCTAATACTTACAGTTGTAATTTGAGTTTCAGTGGCTATGGGATAGATCCCAGAATAGGCTCTTTAATCGCTAACTGAAACTAATTTATAATAATTTCGATTACTGTCCCAAAAAACATATATTCTATTACTGACTTAAAAGTAATTGCATTTCTTAGGGTACTAGGTGCCGTGCCCAGTAACCTGTATGGTCACAAGTAGCCAAGAATATAAACAAGCCTTAAAATGGAATGGATTCCTGCGAAGAGAAGCCATGTGATTTTAGCTTCTTACAGCTCAGAGAATATAATCTATAATTCAAAAGCATATTGGAAAGTAGCTGTCCTAACTTATTTGTCTGGTAACCAATTTGGGAGTTCAATACAAGCCTGCAAGCATCCTGGGTGTATTTTTCAGTGTGGTAGACAAAAGTACCATAAGAAAAAGACCATTTAAGACAGAAATACATCTCTCGTCTCTGATTGAATGACTGATTCCATAACAGAATGTACATTTAAAAGAGTGCCTGAATGGTTAAGGAAACCTAAGAGGGACCCTAGGGACTTTGCCAGAAAGAACTAATAAAGAGCCCTTGGCGACTCCCTTGCCAAGTAAGCGGTTACTTCCCAGCACCATAGTGCAGTGAGTTTGTTAATGTTGGTAAAAGAGCTATAAGATGATAGCAAAAACAGCTCTCAAGTAAGACTTTAGGGAGAATAAGCTACAACAGAGATTCTGTTCTCCCCTCTTGTGAAAACTATGCTTAGACAGCATTTTCCAGCCTTCCATATACCAAGGTATGAGCAATTGCTCAGTAGTTGTCAGTAGAGTGAGTCAAGTCAGAGCCTTTGATCTCTGGTGACTTGAAGGAACTGGCCCCTTCACTGCAGGAACCCTCAACAAATTTTTAAATTCAAGAAATGAACTTTAACCTCCTTTCAGGAATGGATTTGAGACTGAGATTCTGTTTACATCCTGTCCTTCCTTTACTTAATAAAAAAAGTTCACAGGACCTCAGAAATGATAACCCATGGCCAGGTCAGATGGAAGGACAGAAGGAAACTGCTCTTTGATGTCCTAAGCAGACCCTACACAGAGCTACAGAGGTAAACATGTCACTATATGCAAACACCATTGTTCTGTGTACATCAGGAACAGACAGAAGTGAGGGAGACCAACTAAATAATTTGAACTTCAATATATCCCAAATGGAGGAAAAACACAAAAGCATGCAGGTACAGGGGCTCCCTGAAAGGACAAAACCCAAGTATTGTCACAACAGAATTCCCCTGGGACTACCTCTTCCGTTGGCTTCAAAGCTCTTCCCACGGTGGGCTTTGACTTCACTTCAGAAGAGGGAGGCAGGTCCGCAGAAGGAACATAAGCAGGAACACTGGCCATTACACCCTGTTCCACTTCACCTGGAAGTAGCAGCCAATCTGTTGGGTACAAAATATCTCAGCTGATCCTCTTGGGAAGTTCACCATATCCCCAAGTCACCTAAGAGCCTGTGATGATCAAAACAGGCAGATATGCTCTGGGAAAGCTGACCCTTGACATGGTCCTGGTCCTCATCTGTGAAGCTGAGTCAAAGGATTCTCCACTCTATAAAAGAGAAGCTGCCTGGGTGTCAATTTTTACTATGTGTGGGGTTCCAGCCCATCTGGAAGGTGGGAGGAAGGTGTAGAGAGTGACGTGACAATCCTCCCATCCTAACTCCCTTTTTACTACTACAGGAAAAGAAGGCAGGAAGGCTCTTTCAGCCTCATTTTCCTGAGGGGGTGAAGAGAAAGAAAATGGAGTGCAGATTTCACTCTGTAACAAAACAGCAATATTTCATAGATATATTTCATATATATATATATATATGAAATATATACAAAATGAGGATGCCAGAAGGAAAGTACTTCAACTTTCAGCAGAAAAATGAAATACTCTGTCATATGAAGAATGCACGAGCTCGTTTTCAACACTTGCAAACAACATGTTTCCTGCTTGTTTAGCACAATCACAAGAATTCAATAACCAATCTTAGTTTAGTTTCCCTGTGGATTTATTTTAAGTGGTTATGGTGGCTTGTTTCCACATGTGACATGTGACACGCCATGTATCACAGTGGTATCACAGATGCCACTGAACTTCTGCAACCTTCCTTAGGTGACAAAACAGACACACAGCAGCATAAGACCTTCCCTCCTTGGGCTAACTTCCAGAATACCAGAGGAACTAGTGAGAGCTAGTCAAAAACCTGGGACTGGCATGAGAAGCTACTGCCTGCTCCTTAAAGATGATCCTAATTAAGCCACTCATTAAGTTCTCAATGGAAGTGATTAATTAGCAACAAGCATAGCTGGGCTAATGGCAATGGCAGCATACACAAGAAGATAACTGTGCTGATATTCAAAAGCTGAGACTATTCTGACAGACACCCTTCATCCCCATAGACACCTCACTCACAAAAATGAATCACTGTGGTTTTTCATTGCGAAGAAACAGAACATAATCAGGTCATCTGGAAACTGAGGACTGGTGGGGAGATCATGAAGAAGGTAGTTTATGGAGCTCGATAACTAGAATTTTAGAACATCATCTCATAACTGGCATAATAAAAGCAATAATAACAACTGACACTTATATCCAGTATTTTATAAGGACCAATACAGCTAATCCTCCCAGCAGCTCTTACTGTCCTGTGTTGTAAGCAATGAGCTCTCCACACTGAGAGAGACCAGGATTCCACAGCTAGAAAGGCAGAGTTGGGCAGTCTGCTTCCAGAGTCAGGATCCTCAACCAATGTCACATTATGCATTTTTTTTCAACAAGCATTTTTTTTACATATTTAATTTTGCTTCAAGACAAGGAGTGTCACCTGTAGCTCCGAAGCATAACAGGCAGCACTAAGTACATTTTGTAAATATCTGATACCCAGAAAGAAATGTGCTTAAACTCATTCACACTGGAAGAGAAACTGGTCTCCTAATGTATCAGATATGAGCTCAAAGCCAAACTCCTGCACTGAGCTCCCTCACGTAAGAGCCTTGGGTATGTCCAAGGCTGGTGAGGACCTGCCAACAAGCACTAAAGAAAAGGCTTAGGCCTCTTAATGTGATGACTAACATCTATCCAATCAGTTGGGTGTTGGTACAAACACTAGGTCCAATGTGAAGTCAGAATCAATTCTACTCTCCAGACCTGTGTTTAAGACCATGGTTCTGTTTGACAAAAGGTATGGCAAGCAGGACAAGTGTCCAGGACCTTTACTGAAACTTACAGCCTTAATCAGTTCTCATCAAAAGCAAGATTTTCAACTACAAAAAAAAAATAATAATGGTTTCTTTTATAACCATTCTACTGCTGTGGGAACAATTATTTCAAAGCCAAAAGATTCCACATCTTTAGCGTCTCTGAGGTAAAGATAAAATTCAGGAATGCATACTGTCAGAAGCTAACACAGTACCTTACACATGGTGAATGTTCAACCCAGGACTTGGAAGCAGGGCATTAATTTTCTGTATTACAAAGTTAAACTGAGCAGTAACTATCAAGAGCTGTATACCAACAGCCAGTTAGACACTATGTGTGATGTAAGACAAGCACAGGCCATCCCCTCAAACACTGAAGAATGTTGTAGGGATACATTTTCCACATACAAAATCAAAATGAGAAAACCAAAAACAAAATTGAATTGTTCTGATCTAAGCATTACAGAGCTATAAAAGGCAAAGCAATACTCACAGAAAGAGCCCAGTAGGGTATCTACTAGGAAAGAGAATTACTCCCATCTTTCAGCCATCCCACAGAGTCTCAGCATGTTATTTGGGGCTGGTGTGGCTGCGGGACAAGACCAGCGGTGGCAGGCGGAAAAATGTGTGTGTGTGTGTGTGTGTGTGTGTGTGTGTGTGTGTGTGTGTGTGTATCTCCCCCCAGAGGTTGGGGGCATAATATTCACTGATGATGAGGAATGGATTATCTGAAGTGGCCTTTTAACAGTCTATCAGATCTTATTGTCTCAAAAACAACTGAAAGGCCTCTTACATTTACATTTTGAATGCCCTTGGTAGCTGGATACATTGTAGAGTTGGGGCAGTTTCCCAAAGTAAATCTTATGGCTGACTGACAAACAAAAGTTGACACTGTTTAATTCTCCTTTCTCGAGAACATGTTAAGGATTTCTAATATTTAGAAACAATGAATGCCATTGTCTATCAGTGTCTAGTCACCTATGAACAACTCAAAGGCTACAACCATAGAAACTAATAAATAACACTTAAAAGTGAATGATCCAGGTCTGGGACCTCAGAGATCACTGAGCAGTTAAGAACATTGACTGTTTTTCCAAAGGACCTGTGTTTGATTCCCAGCACCCACAAAGCCACTTGCAACCATCCCTGGCCCCAGTCTTGGGGGATCTGATGCCCCCTTCAGGCCTCCATGGGCACTGCATGCATGTGACACCCAAACACACATGCAGGTAAATCACCATACATACAAAAATAAATCATTTTAGAGGCTTAATAAAAGTAATGGTTTTCAATTCTATATTAGGGGCATTTTCAATTACAATTGAAATTTGTTTTTACAATGTGTGACAGTGAAGATTATAGCTGTGGTATAGTTTGGTGCCACACCTTTGGTTCACACTACAGTACCCTTCCAATCACTGCTTTTATAACTTCAGTGATAATATCAATAAACGTGATGTGGGGTCCTCAGGGTTCCCCAAGGATTCTTAGACTACATCCACTATTCTAGCTAGTATCATTCCAACCTCTCGCTGAGAAAAACTAGAAAGGCCAGATAAATTCTAAAGCTCAACTATTTGAAATCATTGGAGGACTACTAGGGCAGTTTGTATCTTAAGAAGTTAAGATCCTCCTCCCACCCCCCCCAAAAAAAAATGGAAAGAGTTGAGAAATAAGTCTAAGGATTACAGTGGAGTTATTTTCAATTCAAAGCATTTTTATTGGTTTGCAAGCAGAGGCTATGAAGTCAGGAAACTAAAGGGCTTAAAAATATAACATGAAGACTAAAGAGGTAGTAGAGCAGTTAAGAGCACTGGTTGCTCTCCCAGGAGGCTGAAATTCATTCCCCAGCACCCACACGGAGACTCACAATCAGCTGCAACTCCAGTTCCAGGGGATCCAATGTTCTCTGCCAGCCTCATGGGCAACACACACACATGTGGTACACAAATAAATACCCATACACATGCACATAATTTTTAAATACATCTTTTAAATTTCTTAAAGTAAAAAGCATAAACAGAGCTGCAACAGGGCTATGAAGATAAAGCTGAAATGTCCTCAGTGCTGTGATGTGTCCTTACAGTGAAGAATGCTAAAAATAGGGAATCTCAGGGCTCACACAAAGTATGTATGAGAAAGCTGCACACTGAGAGAAAACAAGACACACGGTTCCCAACAGCATGAACCCCACAGCAGAAAGAGAGGGGATGAATCACATACACCTAGATTCTTTCCCCAATCTATCTGATTAGGAAAACTATTCCTTTCCTTGGATGGATTCTGAGGGGAAAAAAAAAAAAAAAAAAAAAAAAAAAAAAAACCTAGAATTATCTTCCCTGTTGTTATATTCTCTTCTCAGGAAGAAGATGAAAATTTCTGTATGCAATAATAAGTTAATAAGTATGGGGGAGTAAGTTTTTCCTCTGGTTAACATAGCTTCCTAAATACACCTTCATAGATGGATAAGTTAGCAAATATAAAAACTAGAGTAGTGTGAATAGAGTACCATTGCATTGTGAGGCCAAAAAAGAAAAAAAAAATCTCCTTTCTTGTTTTTAAGTTTTTAATAAGCAGCAAAGCCATCAAAGAATGATACTTTAAGCTGATTGGAAGATGCCATCTTCTCCAAGCCCCTAACGCTCCTGTAAATTATGCCATAGCACATTAAACTGTGGGTTGCAATCCTATATGGAGTCATATAACCAAATGTAGTAGTTGTGAAAAGTTTGGCAAGAGAAAAGGTTTCTTAAGATGCAGTGACCAGAAGTTAAGCCAAATCCCAAGGTATTTCCAGCACTCACCTGTGGTTATAGCATGCAGTACTGGTCTGAACACACAGTGTGTACACTCAATACCATGCACGCTGTCAACCCCACAGTCCTCATGAACACTTCCCAAAACGCCTCAGCTCAGACTACATACCACTACATGTTATGAACTGCAGTTTTCCTTCCATGTACACAGTTTTCAGTTCGTATAGAACCATAATGGCTTAACTACAGAAAACAAAGACATTTACATTTTTTCTAGCATTATTCCTCAACATGTAAACATGAAATAAGTTTTTCTTTGCATAGAGTACATTAAGCTACAATGGTTGGTTTTAAAAACAACTGTTTGAATTGCAGGTTTGCATTTCATTTTTTTTTTTAATCCAATAAAACGTTGGCTTAGGATTAGAAGAGAATTTCCAA